CACTGCTATCCCCTTTCTCCGGGGACCACCGCAGCACCTCGCCTTTCTCCTGGGGCGTCGTACTACTAACCCCTTCCGTCGGGGTCCACCGCAGCACCCTGCCCCATCTGAGGGCTGTTGCCGCACTAGCCTACGGCCGTGCTCGCTACACCCGTCTTGGACTTCTCAATATGGCGCTCCCCCTCCTCGGGGCTCGCCGTGCCCACCTTGGGCTTCTCAATAGTCCCCCTTCTGGGGCTCATCGCGCCCGCACTGGGCTTCTTAGTAATATTGCCCCCTCCCTGGAGGCTCGTCGTGCCCGCACTGGAGCGTCTCAAAGCTGCCCCTCTCTGGGGCTGGGGTCTACGTACCCCACACACAACCCCGGGGTCTATGTTCCCCACCCACAACCCACTGGTTGCGCTCTGCACTACAAGCTGCGCCTTCACTGGCGCTGCGCCTTCACCGGCACCAGGGTTCCCATACCACTGGGGTTCCCCCTTAAAGTACTGTGCCCTCACTCAGACGCTGGGGCCCCACCCCTCTGGGGTCCCTATGGAGCCTCCTCCAACCCCTACAGCCTCGCCCAAACCACCGGTGTAATACAAACACTAACCAAACAAAACACAAGCCTCCTGGCTGCAACAACATAGCTCTTGCGCCACAGAGCCACCATCCTTCAGCCTGCTCGAGCAGTACTCGCATCTTAGCCCCGTGAGCTCCTGCCTCTCTGGCTGCTGGCAAAGAACTGCCAGCCTGGCCTCAGCCCTGGGCTTTATAAGGGCCAGGCCCTGCCTCCTACAGGCAGCTGGCTCTCCTTAGTTGCCCCAGCAACCCGCAGCTGTGCTCATTATGTTCTGCCAGGGCTCTCTCTCCCTGGCAGTTTCTACTCCCTAGGAGCAGGCACTGAGGTGCCCTGCGACACATTACAACATGAGATGACAGGATGACACAAAGGACACTGAGGCAATGGAGCTGAGGCAATGGAGCTCCCAAAACGTAACAGGAAACCAAGGACCTCCAGCGGAGGGCTCAAATGCCAGGAGCTTGGGGAAAAAACACGAGGTACTGGTCCTCTTACTTTTCAGCAGGGACTATGAT